AGCCAGCCTGCCCAGCCCTCATGTGGTGCAGAGAGGGTGGCACACAGCTGGCTGGGCCATCAGACTACCTCTCCCTCCCTCCTTTGGGTGGATGGGGCTGGCATGGTCCAGGGCAGGCAGACTGCCACTTCCTCCATCTCTCTTTGGGCATGAGTAGGGGTGAGACCTGGTGTACCATCTGTAGACTAAGCCTCATAGGAGTCTAGAAACCATTTTCTGACTGTTAGGGTGGGCTCTGCAGTAACCAATGGACCAATGCCAGCCAGTAACTCCAGGGCCACTTCAGGCCATCCTCTTCTTTTAAACTTTAAAAGGATTTGGTAGAAGATCTAGCTGACATAAGCGGTTAGTTGGCTCAGCTATTTAGCAGCATCTTGCCACTTTAAATTTAAAAGGGCCTTTATTTTCTATGAGAGTAGACGTGTCCTCTGGAACTCTGGTGGCCAGCTCTACTCTTATAGGAAATAATGGCACTTTATAACTGAAAGGAACAAGGCACTGCCAAACAGTTGTTCCAGTACCCCAAAATGGAATGGAATCCTGAACTGGTAAGGATATCTCATAAATTTGGGATAACAGAAAAGATGTCCTACCAGAAATATGGATCTGATATTGAAAATTATTTTTAAGTTCATACTCCTATTTGATAAATAGGATCTGATAATCCTCCTCGCTGCCATTTGTGTCTCAATGAAAAAGGCAGACAATAAACAAATAAATACTAATGTCACACTGGGAGCAGACTGGTGTTTGTATAGGCATGCTCTTGCAAAGTAAGAAGAAGAAGAGATTGGATTTATACCCTGCCCTTCACTACCCAAAGGTTTCTCAGAGTGGCTTACAAACTCCTTTCCCTTCCCCTCCTCACAACAGACACCCTGTAAGGTAGGGTGGGGCTGAGAGAGCTCTTGACAGAAACTGTTCTTTTTCAAGGACAGCTCTTATCAGAACTACGGCTTGCCCAAGGTCATCCAGCCAGGTGCAAGTGGAGGAGTTGGGAATCAAACCCAGTTCTCCCAGATTAGAGTCCGCATACTTAACCACTACACCAAACTGGCTCCTCAGGTAACACACTCCCCATGATCACCGCTGCGACTCTGAAAGCCATACAGCCCTGCATGATAGGGTAGGGGGTGGTGAAGGATGGATAGATTGAATACCATCCTAATGGGACAGCCGACTAAAAATGTCTATGTATGTCCTGGCAACAGCTAAGTCATTCCCATTCATTTCCATGCAGTGTTTGTGGAAAAGAAACTTCAAGAAGATTCATCCCAGTGACATGGGACAATCAAGAGTTTAGCACCCCTGAGAATATGCAAAAAACGGGAATCAGATTAACATGCCTCCCCCCTGAGAATATGCAAAAAACGGGAATCCTTTTCCCTATATTTCACAATACTCCTTTAAATGTTTACAAGAACAAAGTCTTTCAGGTTAATCACAGAATCACAGAGTTGGAAGAGGCCACACAGATCACCTAGTCCAACCCCCTGCTCAGTGCACGATCAGCCTACAGTATCCCTGACAAGTGTTTGTCCAGACGCTGCTTAAAGACTGCCAGTGAGGGGGAGCTCACCACCTCCCTAGGCAGCTGATTCCACTGTTGTACAACTCTTACTGTAAAAAGGGTTTTACTAGTATTCAGCCGGTACCTTCCCTCCCTTAATTTAAACCCATTATTGTGAGTCCTCTCCTCCGCTGCCAACAGGAACAGCTCCCTGCCCTCCTCTAAGTGAGAGCCCCCCAAATACTTAAAGAGAGCAATCATGTCCCCCCTCAACCTCCTCTTCTCAAGACTAAACATTCCCAAGTCCCTCAGCCTTTCCTCATAGGGCTTGGTCTCCAGGCCCCCAATCATCCTCATCGCTCTTCCATTGTTAACTGGATACCAGATTGTCATGGGAATAAATGAATACAAAAAAATTAGGGAACTCATATTGGCACTTCCTAACCAAATAATGCAACTAGAAACAGAAGATATGCTCATGATTACTGACACAAATACATCTGCCAAAACATAGTATTTTCTGTTTAAAAAATGCAAATAAGCATATATTTAGGGATGAATTCAGCTAAGGGAAGAAGTGAACACAACCTAAGCAATTTATGTTGAAAAGCAATGTCTCTTCATATGATCTGTAAATTAAGAGCAGATTTCCTTTTCCCACTCCCAAGAAAACAAGCTGTTTGTTAAAACAGAATTATATTTTAATTAAAACCATCTATAGCCACTATCACTGTAAAAAAAAACATGCAAAGTGAAACTAATATATATATGCTTGCAAATGCATACACATGCCTCAGAATGAGAATAGGTGGACCCCTCTGAAGGTGGATTAATGGTCCCTAAATGTGGGCCAAAATACAGATTACAACATTTCTTATGAAAGAAGGATTTTCACAAATCTCTAATATACTCCACAAATATTTCAATATGTGATATATCAGGGATCAAGAGGTTATTTTCTTTATTACATTTACACAGCTGTGTTACAAAATGTAACAAAACCAATGCTTTTTTATTTACAACTTGAACACATTATTTCAAAGACAAAGAACTGTAAAGACGCTGCCACTTCTAGAAATAGTTTTAAATGGTTCTATTCAGTAGGTCACACTGAATTTTAAGAATATGACTGTTAAGAAATCGGCAATCACCTGAATTATATGCATATCCAATGAGACTGGACTCATCCTTAATATCACCTTTTGCAGTGTTGCAAAGAAATAAACACATATCCTTACATCAGCATAACTTACTCCTAGTGTCTATACCAACTTTGCAACACTATGTTAAGTGGAATGCACATTATATTTAATAGAACATTGCTCCGCTGTTTTTTAAAGGGTCAGAATATGCACAGCTCTTTTAAATATGTTTCCTGGGCTTGCTTTTTCAAGCAGGAGAATAGCATGAACAGGAGAAGCTATACTGATTCAGAACCTTGGTCCATCAAAGTCAGTATTGTCTACTCTGACTGGCAGGAGCTCTCCTGGGTCTCAGGCAGAGGTCTTTCACATCACCTACTACCTTTTTAACTGGAGATGCTGGGAATTGAACCCAGGACCTTCTGAGCCACAGCCCCTCCCTTATGAGGAGAAGGCAACATTTAACTCTCCCCCCCACTGCGTTTTCACAAAAAAGCCACCGAGCTGCTTTTAGCCGTGTTGGGGAAAAATGGGTTGTCCTCATTCATCCCCTTAAGCTGTCATCTATATCTTCCAGTGAAGCATTGTCACCTGTAACAAATCACTTCAGTAAAAGCAGAGATAGCTAAAAAGCAATAGAGGCCCCGTTCACACGGTGAATTTGCCGTGGCAGAGCCACGAGTGGATGGCAGATTTTCTGGCCACGATCACACCACAACATCTGGGAAGTGGAGCACACCTGTGCCTAACTCGTGGCATGCCGCCGAAAATGCACGTTAAAAAAACCTCAACAAAGGTGGTGGCAAACGGTTTGCCATGGGCTGCCTCTGGACTCCCGTGGTGTGATCGCGCCGGCGCGGCTTTTCCCCTCTGGCCGTCTGCGTTGCAGCACACATGCCAAGAACTGGAGCCGTGGGTTGCCGTTGATGCATCTGATCGCATTGTTGCGCCGCAAATTGAGGCACTGCAAATTGTCATGCCACGCCTCCCCCCCCCCGTGTTTTCCGGCCCATGTGACCGGGGCCTAAGTGCTTTTAGTAGTTATTCCTTTAGCTCCACTTGCTTATAACTACTGTTTTTCTGAGCTCTACAGTGAGCAACACTTAGGTTAAAGGAACAGTAAATCTCATGTGGGGGAAGGAGAAGTTCTATTGTAAATCAATCCAACTGTTGAGTCTTGCTATAAGGTAATTACTGGTTTTCAATTACAGCTTTCCAGAATGCCAAAATTCCTTGCCACCTTTCTGTTGTTCCACTGATGAAATTTCATGGATAAAACTTGGAAAGGGAAATGTAATTGAGGGAGCACTGTAGCCACAGTTAGCTCTCTCTGATAGAACTGAGTATAAACTTTGAGTACAATAAACTAAAAGGGGGGGAAATCCCATGAACAGTATACATCTGTTAAAGAAGACCCAAACAATTCTAGAACTGTTAGAATTCTCTGTTAAATGTATCCATTTTTATTTGGTTTCAACAATTGGGTATTGTGTTAGTAGAGAGATTCAGCCCAAATAGCCCAGCTTAGCTCAGGCTAAGCAGGGTCAGCCCTCATTAGTGCTTGAATGGGAGACCACAAAGGAAGACTAGGTTGCTACACAGAGGAAGGCAATGGCAAAGCTCTGCTCCTCTCTTGCCAGGAAGGCCCCAGGAATGGGGTAACCATGAGTCAGTTGTGACTTGATGGCATCTTCTTCTTCTTGTGGAGAGGGAACTGCATATGAATCTATTAAGCAGTTTCAAGGATAATATGGGCCCCTGCCACACGGGAGGAAATTGATGCGGCCAAAGTGTGGCTTTTTAAAGCCGCACCAAGAGACACGCGGTGGCGGGATCAGACAGATCCCGTGAGCTGCCGTGCAGTTGCTCCCTGGCACGATCAGATGCTGGGGAAAAAGCCACGGAAGGGAGCGGAGGCAGCCGGCTGCGCATGTGTGCGCATGCGCAGTTCGGCTGGGAGCCTCCAATGCTCCGGAAGACAGGCGCTCCGGCGATCTGATGGCCGTGCTTGCTGCGGCGTTTCAGGTAAGTCCTTCCCTTTTGCAGGTTCTTTTTTGCTCCGCGTTACTGGCCTAAAGGGACGGATCAGGGACGGGTGTGCGCCACTTCCAGATGTTGCAGTTTGATTGTGCCCGTTTGCTGCACCCCCGATCCGTCCCTCTTCCGGGCCAAAACCACCCGTGTGACCGGGGCCGTATTTTTGCAATACTGGAACATACTGTTGCAACACTGTCTGATAAAAGATGTAAATAAAATGTAAATGCTAACAAGTATATTATTTTTGAAAAAGAAAGGGAAAATAAGTGAAAGATGTCTGTGCAAAGGTAAATTCTGCAAGAATTCCTTACCTCTTCCTTGGTCTTTTTGGATATTACTCTTAGCCAATCACCAATCATGCTCAGGACAGCAGCAAAATATGCAAGACCCACAAGGATCCAGAACCACACTACTGGTTTGTAGAAATCTAAATATTCAATATCTCCTCCCCCTAGAAAAATAAAGATTTAAAAATACTTTAATTCATGCCTTTGCAACCATCATTCTTCTTCATTTACATTTGGTTATCATATTTACTAAAAAGGAAGGCGAACCTGAATGCAAGATGACCTCCTGGAAAAAGTTGCATTACCTCCCCAAAATTTACTGGATATAACTGTAACTTGTAAGCAAATGTAAGATGACTCCTCCCCCCTTTAATGGCATACCTAAAAAAAAGCCCAGTCTTTCCTATAAAACGTAGTTTACAATTCTTTAACAAATGATCTTCACACAATCTTTGCAGGACAAATTTCAATACTTCAACAAAGATTAGAAAAAAATTCAATCGAAAATAAAAAAGGACACAATCTATTCCAAATTAAGAGGGTGTTGTGGTGATAAAATGGATGAGAGGAGAATGGTGTAAGCTGCTTTGAGTTCCCATTGGGGAGAAGAGCAGGGTACAAATGAATCGAATGAATGAACTTGTCAGTCCCATTGATTTAAATGAGAAAGTTAAGCGCATTCTCAAATCTCTCATAACAGATGCAATGGATTATGCTCATAGGTTTCCCCTTCTCCTTTTCTTATACAAGTCACAGACATCAGAGAACCATGCATTAACTCAGCAGCTAACCCCACCATCCTGATCAGGTCTACTCAGAATCCTACATAGGTCTATTAAATGGGGCTTACCCCCAGGAAAGTATTTTTAGGATAGCACTGAAAGTACTCATTCCCAGAATATTTAAATTGAAGTCCTGCATTCTAAAAAAAAAAATTATCAGTTCTTCACCTGGTTGCAAATTGCAGCCTTTAGGGATCTTGAGGATTTCTACTAGTATTCAGACCCCTGATTTCCTAAGCATTAACTTACTTAGGTGTACTGCTGAAATGAGTGGTCTTATTGGTAATAAATGAACAGCCTGATACAAAAAGGAGGCTGTCTTAAGTACATTTTTATGCTAATCCAGGAACCCATTTAGCTAAGTACTCCAACAGTCTGCACAAATATTATAAAGATTCAGTATAACCACTCAGTGCAATTTAGTCCCACAGAATCATTGGTATCTTCAGGACGTAATCCCACTGATTTAACCACTTCTGCACAGTGACTGTTGACCCTGAAGTATTACAGCTTGGGTGAAAAGAGTGAAGAACTGTTGACATATTAAAATGCATGTTTTCAATATTAGTAATAATTACAAAATTAATGTGAGAGGATTATTTACATGATGAACAAATCAGTGAAATTCCCAAAAGTTCTGTGACAATCCTACTACAAAGGTTCATCAAAAGTAGCGTATTCCAGGATAACAGCACATTTTGCTTTGGATGTTTATAATAGTATAAGCAGCATTTTCACTGATAATAAATGAAGAGCCTTAGACATAAAGGACAGTGTCTTAAATATACCAGTTGCCACTTGGGAATATGGACCTCATGATGGTAATTTACCACAGTTAAATTTTCAAGTTCACCACTTGCTTGCCCTACTCAAGCAGGTTTGAATACAGATTGAAATATCTATGTGGTCAATGATAAGAAACTGATGCAGTAATCAAGCATTTGCTGTGCAATTTAAGGAAGATTAATCACAAGTTGGAATGACTTTTTTTAAGGAAGAAGGCAAAAAATACAAGGCCTAATGCTATAAAAAGAGATGCATCATAAGGTCAAGCAACAGCATTCATTTAGTAATGGTAGACATTGAACAATAACATCAAAAGGTTGCAGGTGACGAGTGGTATAAGGGTCTGTTCCAGCAGCCCTTTGGATTCTGGGGATCAGGACTCATTTCCAGGCTGGGGAGGACAAATTAAGCACTCTAGCAGAACAATTATGTTATTTTGCATTGTAAATTTTATGATGACCTTCATGCTGTATTTTTAAAGCCTCTCCTCTCAGATCGACCTTTGGAGGGTCATCTGAGGACTGTATGACCTTTAAACTTTTAGCTTCAAATAAGAGCAAAATTATTGATCTGTAGCAAAATTCCTCTACCAGGCCTCTAAGAGGGGACATTCTTTCTGATCACAGATTCTATTGTAGTTTATATGGATTCGTGCCAATAAAGGTTTTTGTGTGTGTGTGACTCTAGCAGAAGCTGGGGATGTCTGGGGAACTGTTTGAGGGACATGAAGAAGGATAAAACCACCTTTACCAATGAAGAGAAAAGAGTGAACGCCATTTTAATATTGGGCTAGCCCTTTGTATTTGTGTGTGTGTACTTTTGATTCGTGTCTATTTGAGCATGCTTCCATATACTCTAAGTTAAGCAATGTCATCTAGTGGTAGACCAAGTCGACTGCAGTAACTACAGCACTTAGTGTTTCCCATTCTTTGAGGTTATGTAAGGCTAAACCTGTCATGAGTATTTAATACTGCTTTCATTGACTCCAGTACATTAGTGAAATT